GTAAAAAAAAAAAAACCCTCCATTTGTAAGAACATATCCCTCCTCCATGTAAAACAAAAATAAACTCTCCAGTTGTAAGAACATATCCCTCCACCATGTAAAACAAAAATAAACTCTCCAGTTGTAAGAACATAATATCCCTCCGCCATGTAAAAAAAAAAAAAAGGTCTACAAGAGTTTGACCCCACCCTTCCTAACCACTATCCTTTGCACGTTTTATTTCCTTACGTTTCAACAGTTCTTGGTTTTAGAAATAGCTATTAAACAAGTCGATTTTTATGAGATTTTTAAGGAAACCTAAGAACATGCAGCTTTTTAGATGAATTTCCCCAATCACAAGCCTTGTTATCTCCAAAACCACTACCTCCCCTAACTTCAAAGGATAACGAAATAGGCCTTCATTCATATCACCTTTTGTCATCGTATGAATGAAAGCAAATCTAGCGCCCATATCCAATATACAACATACATAACATAAACTGTTTTGAATGTTCAATTATAATGATTTGGGAGCCTAATTGTAAGATCAATACAAACGGTGACGTCTCTTATATCTTTAGTTTAACGAGCTGGTTGATTTACATCATACAGAATTCAAAAAATACAATTTTTATTTTTCATAATAAAAAAAAAAGTTAAGTAGTGTCGGAATAAAAAAAAATGATACGTGAAATGATAATGACCCGTAGTGTTCAACTATCCTACTGACCATATCGCCGATCATGACGATCAAAGGCCCCAGAAAAAAGCTTCCATAGCAGTGCTCCAGGAGCCGAAATGAGAAGGCGATGAAATCAATGCTGAAGATGACTCTGGACACATCCATAAGATAGACTGGCTCGGAGTTATACTTTGCCACACATCGTATGGTCCAGGCAACAAGAAACAATACTATAGCAATACCATCTATTTTGTTAAAGGCGTCCTTGAAATGAGTTATTATTATGTGCCGGAGCTAAGGAAAATTAATTGAAAAATTTAAATTCTCCTAAAATAAAGTTTTTTTTAAAAATACACTAAGATTAGAGGCTGGTCTTGTGAGTGAAGCTTAACAAATTTTTCAGTGTAACGATAGAATGCATGTCATGCTTCTTTGACTACTTACGTAACCGTGGCAATCAAAAACTATTTTAAGCTAAGGAAAGACGGCTTTCTTCTAAGTAAGTAAAAATATACTGACAATGAAACTGCCATACCAATTTTGAAAAGCAAAAAAAAAAAAAAATTATTTCAGTTATAATGTAGCTTTTTAACTGAAAACATCCTCCCCTTGCATGACTTCATTCTCCACTATATTATGTAAAATGCTTATACAACATTAATAATTTTTTTTTTTTAAAAACTTTTAACATTGATGCATCAAGGATAATGTGTAACAGTTATGTATTTATAAAGATTTTTTTTTTATTTAGGTAGGATTTAATAAAGTAGACACGTTTGTCATTTTAAGGATATCGTTTTAATGGCAGGTGTAAAGAATTGGGAACTGTATACATTATGAATATTTACAAAAAAAACAGTATAGCACACTTCAGAAATAGTTTGTATAAACTTTCAAATGGTAAAAAAAAGAGAATTTTAATCTATTCTCCATATCCATATAAATTAATGTCTTTTTAAACGCACATTAGAGTAACTTGATCTAAATTTTGTAGAAAGTATATCAATCTGTTTGCCTGGCTTCAATAAAATGGTCTACATACCCATGGCTACATATACCCCTCACATTATATTTTATTTAGTAACATTTTATAGCAATTGATTGTTTTTTTCTAGAATATGTATGGAATATATATATGAATATACGTTTACATATTCTAGAAAAAAAACACCGAAATGCTTCTCTTTTCTCGTACTTTCATCATATGATGTATGTGGAAAAATATACCATTAATATTTTGTGTAAAAACAAACAATTACTTTACAACGGGCATTTATTGGTTTACCGGTTTTTCTTTATTTCTTTTGCTTGTAAGGGCAATCTGGAAGATAAAAATATAAACATATACATACATTTACATATATATATATATATATATATATATATATATATATATATATATATACAAGAGGAGAGAGAAGAAGAGAAATATATATATACATATTATTCACACAGACATACATCTCTCTAATAAAAATATAAACATATACATACATTTACATATATATATATATATATATATATATATATATTTATATATATATACAAGAGGAGGGAGAAGAAGAGGAATATATATATACATATTATTCACACAGTCATACATGCCTCTCTAATAAATCATACGGGTCTTAATTTTTAATATACTATGGACCAGTGTATACACAATTCTAAATGTGACAAGTAGATCCGATTTCAAAACAGCAATTTTCATTTTAAAATGCAACTATGTAACAATGTATGATATGAAAGTTTATGTGTTAAATATCCGATCAAAAAAAGAGGAGATACACATTTTTTAAAATTATTTTCCGTGCTGTACTGGTTTTTTTTGTTTTTTTTCATCCAACAGTTTGGCTTGTATGTACACAGGGATATGTAGGCCCTCACACTGCTTATGTGTAATGATCAGTAACTTTAAAATTGAGTTTTTACCAACATTTGCTACACAATACAGTTTATGACGTTAGCATTTCAACACTTGCCACGATTAATGAAAGTTTCCTAGATTTTCCTCTTTTAGTATAGTTTATTTTTTAAATAGCAGCTTGAAGTTTTCATACAATGAGGGTTGCAACCTTAATTTGGATACTAACACCGGGGTTGGGACCAACCGAAACGAAATTAATTTATTAACACCGTATTTCCTTTTCCCTCTCACAATCAAGTTCAAATGCCTATGGTTAGCTGTGTATATAGCATCATAGCACGTGCTCCATAGCCTACGTCGTATTCCGGAAAAGAGCGGAGCCACACTGGGACAGGAAAGGGGGGCAGCGTTGGCTATTGTTTGACCTTTAAAAGACTCATGTAGCTAAGATATTTCTCTGACATTCCATTTTCAAAATGAATAATATTTTATAACTAACCTCAACAAATTCTTCTAGTAGAAATGTCCCTATCCAAACCCATAGAATCCACTCCAGCCAGTGAAATGTGTGTCTCTCCAGCTTTGAAACAAGCAAAAGGCTGTAGAGTAAAAGAAATACCAGGAAGCCAATCTGAAAATATCAAGATTGTAAAAAAGAAAATAATTTTAAAACAAAATGAACATATAAATTAAGAGATAGTTAAAGGACAATAGGATAGTAAAGTGGGTTTCAAACTTTTAAAATTCAAGACACCAAGTAACTTTCTTGGAACATTGACACCATGGATGAACAATAGCTATCTTAAGCTTTAAAAGTAATGATCGGATAAGTCAATTTATTATATCAGATAGTTGAAGATGTATTTTTATGTGAATTTCACTAATGGATCAAAGTAGATCGCGATAAAGGAGGGCACACGTTAAAAGATAAATTATAGAGATACTTGTAATGCGTTTAGTAAACGAATTCAAGAAAATAATATATGAGGAAAATGTTTAATGATCTAACCGAAAACAAACAATCTTACTGAGTGAAAAACTGTGACATGGAACATTAAATATACTTTGCTCTTTGCTGTAATATCTTTTAAATATTTTTTGTAGCTAAATAGACGATTGTAGAAGATCAGGAATTTATATTTACGAGAAATAGATTTATTGTAGGTTTGAAGTTAGTTCCCCTGCGTTCTTACTTTTTATACATACATTTGTTTTAAGACTAGCTTTACTTAAATTATGTCATTAAGTTTAAATTTTATTTTAAAAAAAAATAAATAAAGAGATAACAACTTTTTTTATGGATTCTTTCAAATAATTTTCGATTTTGTCCAGACACCTTTAGTATTAAATTCAAATGGAATTTGTATTATTAACGAATAGGATTATTCTAAAATAGTTTATAACTCGTCACTCATAAAACTAAGCTATGATATCTAAAAAAAAAAGTAATACTCACAAAATTTAGAGAAAAAAGTACATATGGTGCCAAGAGTACTTTAATCCACTTTTTAAAACTGTAAAATGAACACACAAAAATTAGGTTAAGTTTTTCATGAAACAAAAATTAACTAACCAATTAAAAAGTGTACACAACTGGCATAATGAATACAAATATAATGTTGGAACTTACTCCAGTAATCCAAACTGTTCTTTCCCTCCTTTGTGTAACTGTGAATAAAGTAAAGTAACAGCAAAAGTAGCATCTACTTAAATAAAATTTTACATAACACACATAGGAGGAAAAATATCATGAAATCTTACTTTTTCCATAACACAAAGAGTCGGCTCACAAAAATTTGTTAATAAACTCGAGGGGTTTTGAGGTATCAAAAATGTTTAGCTTAGTTTGAAATAAATATTAACTCATGTTTAACGCAACTATCCTTTAGACCTTTTTAAAAAAAAATGTTTTTTAATTCTCATTTATAAAAGATCCTATCCTCCAGTTTTCATATTCTTTTACAAAATGTACAGACGTATAACTAATTAAGAGCCCAAATATTTGAATTTAGATAAAGCTCACAATGACGTGAGGCGTTAGATAAAATCGTGAATAAACATAAACAGAAAAGTACGACCAGAGGCGTAGCGAGGGTGTTTGGCGCCGGGGGACAAGATCCATTTTAAAGCGCCCCTTTTTCTTTCTTTCTGCTCTCAAACCCATTATTTTCATCAATAAAATAATATCAAAGCACATTTTGGCGCCCATAACTAGCTGGCACCGGGGGACATCTGTCCCCCCTGCCCCCCCTCGCTACGCCTCTGAGTATGACTCTAAGCACATGTCTTAGACAGTGTATTAAAAATGTCCAGAAAAGAAACCTCAAACTGATTGCCTGTAGATTATAATTATATTTTGTATTTATTTACTAAGTCTGAAATCTGCTCTATTAAATTTCACTACGCATTCGTCATTTTGCGTGTGTGTGTGGCTGAAGGTATCAGTGCTGTCTTAATGCATGGGCCCACTTGGTACTGAACCAGGACCTCATGCACCAAGAAAGCCTCACGCTTCTAGCAGACTCCCTCTTTTAGATGCATCATGCTTCTCAAAATTGTTAGGGAATATTGCACGATTTTTTTTTTAATTTAAAAGGGTTACTGAAACTTCCCGCTAAAGTTTATCTCCAGTTTTGTTCGGCAGCCTCGAACTCTTCTCCCTCTTCAATTAAAGCCCTTTCCTTTGCACGGCCCTGGGTATATAGAGTGTTAGGTGTGTCATTACATTACAGTGCCCAGAGCCTCCCTTGCTGTAAAGATGTTCCTGATAGGTGGTTGTGTGTATGTGTGTGTGTGAAATTGATGGACCGAATATAGATGCTATTTATTTTTAATATGGACTAAAATAATAAACTATTGGACTAAATTAGGGTACTTCATTTAAATAATTAGTAATGGTGTTTGAATGAACGTAAATCCTTATCTAAATGTTGCATTACTTCTTTCCATTCCGCTTTACTTGCGCATCCAAATTTCCAGATTCTGTAGTTGAGTAGATCACAAGCGGTTTGACTAATGAAATCCCCATTCGCTGTGTTGACAGCGATATCAATGAGATTCTTGGAATTCCACGCTGGGAGTTTCTGTACCAACATTTCATACGTGCCTTCCTTTGTGGTTGAGTGGAGCTGGTTGATGATGTCGTGAGACATTTTCTTATAAAAGCTGAAGAAATAAGGACATTTAAGTGTTATGTTCATAAATTTTTTCCTGGAGTTAGCGATTTCAAATTAGTAGCAGGTTACATATAAGATACTTATAAATTCATAAGAAGCAGAAAATAGAGGGACATGTTTGAATAGTGTAAAGAGTTGAAATAATGAAACATTAAGTATAAGTTTCTTCAGTATAATAATAGGATGTACTATAGTTGGGATAGTGGAAGAACAAGTATGATTGAATTTGATAAAGGTTTAGGACAATGTGTTTAACGGGGGTTTGAAAAATGCTGAAGCAGAGAAGATTGTGACATTAAAAAAATAGATGAATTACACAGCAAAAATTTGTGTCAATCTAACAATATAATTGAAGCTGTAATAATAATTATACATAATACACAAATAAACGTTTCGGTACATGTCTTCATCAGTACAACAACAAAACATTGAAATAAGTATAAACTAAATTTACATAATATATATATATATATACATACATACATATATCCTACCTAAAAAATTAGATGTTGTTTGAAAGATTGGGATGAAAGGAAAGAGCTTGTTTCGAATAATTGCAAGTACTTTAATGCTGAGACCCCCACCCCCCCCTCCCCCCCAAAACACGAGCATTAGCACTTATTCGAGAAATCTTAGAAATCGACCTCACCCCTTTTGTCACTCCATAAGTACTAAATGGATAGCCCCTACTCTATTTATTGGAGATACCATACACAACTATACACATTTTGTGAAATCAACCCCTTAAAGCAGGCCTGCACAACTTACGGCCCGCGGGCCGCATGTGGCTAGCCTGCATCCACTTTGCGACCGTGAAGTAACGAAATATTCTTTATTCTTAATATTTTGTTAATAGCTTTTCCCCCCTGTTCTACTTCATTCAGCGCTCACAAGTTTTTCATAAAGTATTACGGCCCTTCTTACATTTTGAGTTGTGCAGGCCTGCATTAAAGGGTCCCTTATCCAATAGCAGGCAAGGTTGAAATCACTATATCGCAATATTGACAGCAAGATTCCCTAGTAGCATAAGGCCTATAAACTGCCCACATTGTCAATGCATTAAGTTGGCATTGTATTAATATACTAAAAAAAATATTGACCTCACTATTAATTTAAAGGATAAAGAATAATTATATTTACCTAGATGTCTTGTGATTCGCCCTGATTTTTAAATATAAATGTTCCTTTTATAAAAAAAAAAATAATAATATGACACTGACTCTTCGCTCGTTTTATAACATCTCCTTGCATTATTGGACATTTTTCTGTCATTACGGGTTAGGGTTAAACTAACTCTACCAACATTATACTTACTCAATGTAGATTTGTAGTTTAGCTTGCCATTCTGGCACCCTTAAGCCCTTCAGTTGTTTGTCGAAAACTCCAACAGCAACCAGAGCGGCGGCAGTGGGATGCTACATAAATTGTGGAGTTTTAAAGTTGTGATATTTAAAATACATTTTCAAAAAAAGTAGTTTACAAAATGTTATAATCTAAACAATATTTGGCGTACTAAAGTTTAAATGAATATTCGTACGAATTATTTCTTGCTGCAAAAATGCTTTAAGCGTACAAACAATAAACTGAGTTTTCACTGTCCAGGCCTTAATCGCCTACATCTATCGCTTACGAGTCCAACGTCCTGGATATGTGGCTGGAGATCTTAGACTACCCTTAAAAAGATTATTAATTACAGCCTGATCTCATAACGCCATTTTAACTTCAAAGTTTCAAACAGATATGGGTGGCACTTGACACCAGGCTGCTTAAGTGTTGTGGATAAATGGTGGACAAATTGAGCTTCCCTTTCCCAGCATCGGGGGGCACTCCACAACATCATGGGTACAAATAACTCTAGATAGCCATAGTTTGGGTAAGATATCGCGCTAAGGAATTGATCCATTACATTAATTAGTTTGATTTTAAAACTGACAAGAGACACTTCGATGTAAACTCATTTCTCTTCAAATACTTCTGGCATATTGTGTACTTTTGGATATTTTTTTTTCCTTTTGGGATCTACTTATCTTTAAGCGCTCTTCTTTTTCTTTTCATTAATTAGTAATCATTAAATTTTGTGTGTAGCCTGAAGAAGGCGTTAAGGAAAAATGCGGTTTATTCTTCTTTTTATATTTCAAACTTTCCGCTTCTTTCTTATAACATCCATGGCTCAGTCTCTATAAGACTTTCCACATAATGGCTCAGTCTCTATAAGACTTTCCACATAATGGCTCAGTCTCTATAAGACTTTCCACATAATGGCTCAGTCTCTATAAGACTTTCCACATAATGGCTCAGTCTCTATAAGACTTTCCACATAATGGCTCAGTCTCTATAAGACTTTCCACATAATGGCTCAGTCTCTATAAGACTTTCCACATAATGGCTCAGTCTCTATAAGACTTTCCACATATTGGCTCAGTCTCTATAAGACTTTCCACATAATGGCTCAGTCTCTATAAGACTTTCCACATAATGGCTCAGTCTCTATAAGACTTTCCACATAATGACTCAGTCTCTATAAGACTTTCCACATATTGGCTCAGTCTCTATAAGACTTTCCACATAATGACTCAGTCTCTATAAGACTTTCCACATAATGGCTCAGTCTCTATAAGACTTTCCACATAATGGCTCAGTCTCTATAAGACTTTCCACATAATGGCTCAGTCTCTATAAGACTTTCCACATAATGACTCAGTCTCTATAAGACTTTCCACATAATGGCTCAGTCTCTATAAGACTTTCCACATAATGACTCAGTCTCTATAAGACTTTCCACATATTGGCTCAGTCTCTATAAGACTTTCCACATAATGACTCAGTCTCTATAAGACTTTCCACATAATGGCTCAGTCTCTATAAGACTTTCCACATAATGGCTCAGTCTCTATAAGACTTTCCACATAATGGCTCAGTCTCTATAAGACTTTCCACATAATGACTCAGTTTCTATAAGACTTTCCACATAATGGCTCAGTCTCTATAAGACTTTCCACATAATGGCTCAGTCTCTATAAGACTTTCCACATAATGGCTCAGTCTCTATAAGACTTTCCACATAATGACTCAGTCTCTATAAGACTTTCCACATAATGGCTCAGTCTCTATAAGACTTTCCACATATTGTTCGTACTGTGTATACACATCATTCTATCCGGATTTGCACCTTATTATAATATCAGTCTATACAATTTTAAAGTTAAAATGCAGTCCAAACGAAAAAAAAACTTTTGCTGGATTAACAAAACAAAAAAAAAAAGAAATAAAAAATTAAATAAAATATCTTACCTCGATTTCGGCAAAAAATATTTTCGACATTTCGAATTTGTTTGATGTCAGCGCATAAAGAAATAGTCCTTGTATTGTTGAGATGGATTCTTCGTCGACCCCATCTGTGTATAAATGAAATAATACATTAATATTTTGAAAATGATATTTCAATAAATAAATTTATTTCCAAAAAGTGTGATAAAAATATTTTTAGAATCACATATTAGCAACTGTATGAACATGTCATAGTTTCTCTCTCCAGTTACTCTCCCTACTAGATAGGCTGCACCTTTCTCAAAGAGTATCATTAGATGATTTTTATTTCAGAAATATTTCGACTCACCTTTATTATTGTCTTTCCTTTGATTTTGATTTTTAGAAACATCATTTTCTTTAAAAGAAATATAAAAAAGAGGGCATTTAAATATTTTAACTTGTATTGGAATTGACTTTAAAATGCATTGACTATTGAGTATTGAAATATAAGAAGAGCTTTAAAAAAATCAATATTAAAATAAAATAATTTGTTATTTCAATGGTTTCATTAATATTTTTAAAAAGCGTAAATATTTTATTAGTGCTTCTTTTTGTATGATAATAAGGAAATGCATTTAACGGTCGTCGGATCAGTTTGCAAAATGTCTTCAGGCAATTGTGACAGGTTCATGGTAATTTTATCTGTGCTCACATAATTAAGGATTTAAAGTTTTATGGACAGACTTGAATATTCACAATAAAACAGCCATTGTTTGAGAGCACCATGCATTATTCCTAGCTTGAACAAACTCCAGATAGTCTTTCAAAAGCATAACAAATTGTTTCCAGTTATTTCCAGCCATTTCGCGAAATAGCCGTACAATTAACATATTAACGGATAATTTCAAGTACATTGAACTTTGGCCACACATTTCATTTCGGCAGAACACTGAGGTGTATACATGCATTTTGTAAGCCTTTTTCTAGATGAAATACTATACAATTTAGCTTTAAGATAACATACTGTTTTTTTTTCAAAAGATAAATTGTTAAAGTTTATGCTATACTAAATATCTCTTTATCATAATACATCTAAAAGATGTATACTCACTTTTATCTAACAATGTATTAACTCTTTTAACAAAGGGTTTAAAATATTTTCTTTTGATCACCTGCTTTGAAATCTTTTTCAGAATAAAATTGGGCTGAAATATATAAAACATGCACTTATTTATTTGTCTACACATATTAATCAGAATCTGGAAATGTGTACAACTTAAAATTTGATTGATTGAAAAGTGTTTGACAAAAGTTTGTTGAAATAGAATTTATTTTGTTTGAGGAGACGTTTGTTAGAGGAGATGTTTGTTTGAGTAGACTTTTTTCTCAAAAGGAAATTTGCTCATAGAGATGTTGCGACTGAGAAATAGTCAACATATAAACATTTAACATTTCTTCCTTGCCATTGCTTCTTTCAATCAAACTACCATGTCGTTAGTTCTACTTGTTGTTTATAATAATGAGGATACCTTTCTGATTTATTCCCATAGATCTATGATGTGTCTTCTATATTATGGATTAATGTTTCAAAATCAGGCATGTTTTGTGGCTATGTGTTCGTTTAATCACAATTTTCAAAGTTGTTTTTTTTAAAAAAAAAAAAAAAAAAAAAAAAAAAAAAAAAAAAAAAAAAAAAAAAAATTTTTTTTTTTTTTTTTTTTTTTTTTTTTTTTTTTTTTTTTTTTTTTTTTTTTTTTTTTTTTTTTTTTTTTTTTGTTAATTCGATTAAGATCAGAATCAGATGATCTCTAGATAAGTAAACAATTTTTTCATCAGTAAAATGATGTAACGTTGATGCACATACAAGTTTATCACAACTTAAATTTGTTATTATTTAATAACAACAGTTAAATTCCTTCTAGAATATGTGTCAGGCCAGAAAGCGGTTTTTTCCCACTTAATGTAATCATACGTGTACCAAAAATTATATCGCATGAAGAGTGTCTATAAAATGATACAATACGAAAAGAAAAGATAAAAAAACAACAGATCATATAAAATTAGGTTTAGCATATAGGTTCTTATAAGTTATTAAAAAAATTGAAATTTGTATAGCTTTTTGAACTAAAACACTAAATTATATTTTCATTATATAAATAATGAATAGCCTATATTGGTGGACCTTTTGTTTAGGTAATTCCTTAAAGTCGATGCATTCATTTACTTGAAAATCACCAGACTTCATGATGCTTTCCACAACTTTAACTCTGTCAAATCTAACTGCTTGTCGGAAAATGTAGCTCAACAACTGTGAACGTGAATAGTTAAAAAATAAAATTGAAATAATGGTAATGTTCACTCTCTCATGAAAGTTCACCATGTGCCAAAATACCACAAACTCCAGGATTATTTTGTTTTGTAACTTAGCATAACTCTGAGTGCAATGTAGTTCTATTTTCAGAAAAGAAGAAATAATGGGAAATTATTATTGGAAATTGGTCTCCCAACAGAGGACAAAGCGCATTTATTGTTAAGCATTATTACTATTTTTTTTTGTCGTTTGTAATTTGTCGTAAATGGAGGCAAAATTTTAAAAGGTTGTCAGCACTTTTACAAACGATATTTATTTAGTCTGCACTAAATAACATATTTTGTATGTCTCTTATTTCAAATTTTCGCCGTTCTGCAAGTGTAATATGCTAAGCGGAAGGGGAAGTTTGGTTGGAGAGTTAGAGTGTTACAGACAATCATCTATTTCTTATCTAGGAGATGCTGTAGTGGACCTACAAAGTCTTCAACAACTATCCTTGAAACTGAATATAAATGTTACATTTATTTTACTACGGGGCACACTTTATAAAAACACGATCATTGTTTCCAAATCTTTATGCGGGTTCAGATATTTACAGGAGCTCAAGTATCAGAAAGAACACATTTATATACGTACTCTTGGATACGAGTCACTTTTCCAAATACATAGGAGCTCTCAAGAACGGGGGATTTTTGTTTGATATTAACATTACAGCCCTGCTAACTTAATGTCTAACTAAAATGACTCTTAATAATATTGTTCACAATTTTTTTTTTTAGTTCGGTCCCCATTAATAACAATTTCCTTATGAGTGAGATTAATATAAAACCATGCACAATTTCCAGCCTACCGAGAAACATATCTTCAAGAACAACTGCCCAAACACACCCAACATTGCAACTACCAGAAGAGTAATTGAAACACGGTTAACTTGTAAAAATAAGGCTGTGTTGATAGGCCTCAAATATCATACGAAAACTTTTCGTATGACAATTAATTTTTAATGACAGCAAAAAAATATGAATGTGCTCATTCGTTTTCTTTCAGCCATTTTTTTTTAAATGCAAAACTATTATTAGGTAGGATAAAAGTATGTTATGTTAAATTTGCTTTATTTTAAATATTTGTGTTGTACTGATGACGCTGGTTGTAGAAACGTCTGAATTTGTGTTTTGTCCTATGGTATTTAAAATATACTGTTTTACTTATTTTTTGTGTCTCATGTATCTACTCATAAGCCTCATCGCCGTCCAACCATTTGTAACTACATGGAATACTTTAGCGTTTGGAGCTATTGACCGTTAGCTAAACTGTATGCTGGTTCAATATGCTGGAGGTAATTTTGGCGCATTCTGTATAACATTTTGTTTTTAATGTTTAGAAAAACAGAATAATAAAGTTCAGCAAATTTTATATCACAAAACTAAAATTAAAATTAGCAAGATAACAATAACCAATGTTCAACCAACGTCAGGGTCTGTTTGATAATCTTCGTCTTCGTAATTTATGTCAAGGTTCCAACGTAAAGACAATGATAGAGCCTCCATTCTTAGTTTTCTGTTATCCTCATTTTCACATGCTGATGGATAAAATATGAGCAAAATAAAATTAAATATATTTGCCTTATGTGAATATGAAGTATATATCTAGATTTTGAAATCCTAATACCTTGAAAATGGATGCATTTGAAGCACGATAAATAAAAAATTATACAAAGGAAATTGAAAATTTTTTTGGAAAACAAAAATTATTAAATTTAAAAAACCATTATAAAGATTCAATTAATATATGTATATTAAATTCTTGTAAAATAAACCTTTTACACCGTTTTATGTAGTTTTATTTCGTATTTCTATTTTTTTATATTCGCTACCAACACTTATGAAAAGCAACATAACTTGAAAGATTCCTTTTAATCATAATAATCAGATTACTAAGCAATATATATTTTTGAAATGACATGCTTGCGTTATTTCCTATGTTGACACTAGATAACTCTAAACATTTGGGAATAGATTGTGTACCTTTCGAACGCCGCATCAGTGAATCAAATACGGTTCTTGTAATTTGAGCAAAGACTTCGCTTGATGTTAAGTCTCTACAAACAAAATGTTTTAATAAAAAAACAAATAATTAAAACAAATATAAGTTTTGCAAATGATTAGATGCTATTATTAAATCTATATTAAAAAAAAAATTACCATAAACTAATATCATTTAGCATCTAGGCTGACTTAAAATGAAAGATAAATATATCTATTTAAATATTTATTATACGAGTTAAAAAAGAAAAAGACAAATATCTTATTTCCATATGAATAAGCTAAAAACATGTATTACTGTTTACCGTGGTTCCACTTCTGTTGGCACATGACTCTGATTTCGTTCCATAGATGTAATGGTAAATCTAAAGACATTTAAGAGGAATACCTTTATGTCAAAAAATGTCAAAATGTATACACTTCAGTATGTTATATATATATATATATATATATATATATATATATATATAATATAATATTTGTGACAATAGTGCACACTAAAAAATAGATATAATAATAAATATAAAGACATATAAGAGAAATATCTTTATGTAAAAAAATATCAAAATATATACACTTCAGTATGTTATATATATATATATATATATATATATATATATATATATATAATATAATAGTTGTGAAACTAGTGCACCCTAAAACAGTTACAATGGTTTTGTGAAGCTGTTCATTCTGGGTCTTCGGAAAAAAAGTATGCATACATCTCCATTATTTTTATTTTTTTTATTTGAGTAAGTGGTTCTGAAGGCAGGAACTCTCGTGAATGAGGCACATGAACATTTTTTTTTTTGAGATTTAGTTATAAGTCCCACAAGTGGCACAATAATGTCAATGTCTTTGTTAATAAATTTCACGTTTCTAAAAGTGTTCTGATATTAAATGAGAGTAAGCTGGTGTTATCCAGCATTTGCTACATTAGACTCTACAATGTCTTAAAAGAAATTCTTAAGCAGCAGTACTCCGAGTTTATGAATTTTTGTACCGGATGCAAATTGGAAAGTGTTTGAGCCAGAATGAGGTAATTTATTTATTATCATTTATTTTATTTATTTTTTTTGCAATGCTGTACTAAATTCCAAAGAATGTGTGGACTCCCAAAAAGAGTAATTTTAATTTTTTTTTAAATACACTTCCCTTTCAGCTAACTGAATAACTTTCAATAGACCGTACACCTTTCAGCTGACCAAATCTCTTTCAGCTAACCGAATAGCTTTCAGCTGAGCAAATACCTCTAATTTGACTAAATACCTTTCAGTTGACAAAATACTTTTCAGTTGCCTCGAATGCCTTTCAGCTGACCGAATACCTTTTAGCTGACCGAAACAAAAAGAAAGCCTAACTGCGTTACTTGGTGTCATGTTTTTAAAAAATTTGTCGGAAACGTTCTAGTTTTAAACGGTTTGTCTCTGTAAGAATATGTATCTAGGTGACTTTATAATCCATGTCAAGTGGAATGAAAAAAAAAAAAAAAAAAAAAAATTTAATTTTGAAAAATTTTTTCCATTTTTTTTTTAAAAAAAAAAAAAAAAAAAAAAAGAAATTTAATTTTGACAAAGTATTTCCATTTTTTTTTTTAAATCAATAAAAGAATCGTATATATTATAATACATTATAGTAAATATAAATGTCTCACTTGAATGTGTTAGTTGAATTTGATTTGTCTGTATCTGATTTTGTATCAACTGGTTTTGATATCTGGAATTTGAAAAAAAACACAAACAAAAAAACAATAAAAAATGTTGAAGTTTAATCAAAGGTTGTTATTTTAATGACCGTCAACTAAACAAGAATAATTTTCTTAAATATTTAACAGTATCTTTAATGACAATATTAGACTAATTGGAACTAAACATAACACACGTGTAGTTTGGGTGTTAAAAAATAATCTTCTAACCTTGACGTGCAGTACTGTGAAGTCGCTGTCAATCTTTTCAAGAAATACTTGCTCTTCAACAACTGTATGGTTTAAGCTCAAAGCAATAAAATACTTCATTTGCCCTTTGTCGATATGAGAGACTAGGAATGAATCAATGTTAAATGAATCAGAAATGTTCAGATACATAGGAAATTACCATTTAACGAAGGTATCGAAAGCAATAAAGTAATTATTAAAAAATATTATTTATAAAAATATATATATAAAATACTTGTTTTTTGTTCATTAAAAATTATTGATTTAAGGAATTGTATATATATATATATATATATATATATATATATATATATAAAATATATATATATATAAGATATATATATATATATATATATATATATATAAATATATATAAAATATATATATATATAAAAAATATATATATATATATATATATATATATATATATATATAGGCCCCTATATATATAATATATAAATGACATAATATACCAAAAAGGAGAGGTAATATTTTCAATGAAACTTAAGTAAAAAAAAATAACTAAACCAAAAGCAACAGTGAAATCGTCACTTCAAGTTTCTGAAATGGTGTTACGAGCTTGTCATCAAGTTTCCCGAAAGTTTATTTTTGTGGTTGTGAGCATTAGATTAGAATAGATTAGCGTAACAAGGACGTTATACGATTTTTACCAAATAAAAACACGGGCAAAGAAGAATATATTGGTAATTTGTTTTTTTAAAACTACTGCTCTAGCACTGTAAATCTATATATTGTTAAGTTATCACTTAGTGTAAAAGTGATTGTTACTTGCTCAAGTTATGTGAAATATTTATACACGTCAACAAAAAAAAAAACTTTTGTAATTTGTAGATGTTTTCATTTTGTTGTTGGGCCAAAATTTGGTGCGTATCTTGGTGTGCCGTTGGGGGTAAAACATTTGACGATCATTGCTTTAAATTCCATCTAGAAAAATAATATCACATGCACAAGATTGTACGCTTCAATTTTTTTTTTGAAGTGTGATTGCTAACTTTAAACCAAATAAAACAAGATGAAACACCATTTTTACCCCCTCCCAACCTCTGTAGATATTCCAATGAGGCCGCAAATCATCATTACTTCTAGCTGCACTGCTCCTCCGACCTTAAGCATAAACTAGCTAACAAAATGCCCCAGAATACAGCCTATATGCGAAAAAAGTTCAGCTACGGATAAGGTGTAAATTCTTCACCAAGAACGCAGCGATGGACACATAGCCAAATGGCCACTGGATCGATCTAAATGATGACGATGAATTAAAGTATCGCTGAATGGCAAAAAAAAAACAAAAACAAAAAAACCGCCATTAAAAATTAATGAAACATTTGTAAAAAATGAAGAAGTAACTGTAATCACCTTGTTTGTTTAGATTTGCACCATCCAAAATTAGAGTATCCTTTAAGTAATCCTGGGGGAATCGGAACGGCGTTTGTGTTGTTCCATTTAGAAACGGCCCATGAAAAGTGTCACCTGTAAAATGCCTTTGCGTCTTTTCACTTGTATCAGGCATAGGAGTATTTATAACCAGGCGAAAAACTTCAATTTCTTGTGATTTCCTTTTGGTGAGTTTATGGTCTTCAGCTGCATTACGAACTATGTTGAACAATTCATCATCCGTTCCATGATCTACTTGTACTAAAGCCAATAGATCTAAAACATAAATTTAGGACAAACAAAATTAAATATACGAATGATTTCAAATAAATACTTTTCATCTCATAAAGTGTCAGTTGTTTTAGACTATAGTCATGTAATTGTAAAATTGTGTTTCCTCTTTTTTTGAACTGGAAGATTGTTTCTTTAATATTCGTTGTTTGTTTTTTTGTGTGTATTTTTTTTTTTTTTTTTTTTTTTTTTTTTTTTTTTTTTTTTTTTTTTTTTTTTTTTTTTTTTTTTTTTGTTGATAAAACAATAGTGATTATAAAAATTATATGTACATTTAAAAACGAGAAACGCTTTAGGCGAGGCTTTCAGAGTGTCTTGAAAACGTTTCTTCTGTGACTTAGTAAATGGCCTGTCATTGTATTTATGCAGATAGGCAGAGCCGCTTTGTGTGTTTTGGATATGGTCCAATCATAAACCTCAGACAACAGTTCTCAAGAGAAGGTGTCTCGTGGCGCTCGTCCCTACACACTACGTCTATGCAACATGAGGCAAGCAGAACAAACACCAAAGAGCACAAAAGTAAATTTGGAAATATGCGAGCTAATTCTCTATCCGAAGATGTTCCACCCATCTTTTCACCTTCTGGAAGATTATATTACGAGTCAGAATCGACCCCAGTAGCAGCCTGCTCACCCGCAGACATAGCAGTCCCTGAAAACAATCTGATGATTAAAATATTTATGATCAATCTTAAACCGACGTATATATATATCTATCCATCGGTTTAAGATTGACATATACCGTCACAATAAGACAAATTCATTGCCATACCGCCTACGGGACTCACCCCACATATACTTTTGGTAGCCCTGATTTCGTCTGTGTAGAGACTCATCCACACCAGAAAAACGACTCATCATCTCATCGGTCCCACTACTGGAAACACGTAAAAGCTAAACCTATGTCTGCCACTTTGGCAAACAAATGCACGCTTTCAATTTGCGGGAGTTTCAGTACTATAACTTTTAGCGGATGCAGTAATATCAAGAAAAAGAGAAAAGAAAAACAAGAAGAGAATGTCTTACCTTTTTCAAAAAGTGCTTTGGTTATAGATTTTATAACATTATCAACGGCGTTCTTTTCACGTTGATCAGTTAGGTTGTCAAACGCGCCATACAACCATGCAATAATCTTTTTTAGAAAGAAGACAATATAAACCCAAAGGACAACATCAGAGTTATCTTTTTAAATATATGGACTATCAATTAATTATCCATAAAATTAACATCGAGACTATTTTTTCCCTTTCCCCTTGCCTCAATAACTTCTTTATGATTAAGTTTCATTTAGATAACCCATACTGATTAAACCAATGCTTTGCAGTATAATGTTCTTACTGATAGAAAGGACCATTTATTTTGTTCAGAGAACGTGTTGTGGTTTAGTCCTCCCGTTATGAATCTATTACAAACAAGAATACAAGCTGTGTGCCTTGTCACAACACTTCTTTGTTTTATAGCTTAAGACATAGGATGCTTCTAAATATTTTATAATATAAAACAAACATTAGTAACAATTGTTAATAAAAAATAATTTTTTACATTTTTTAAGTTGTTTTGGTTTTTTAGGAATATTAACGCTAAAATTGCACAGAAAGTAAAATGATCAACGAAAAAAAATAATAACTTGGCAGTTTACTTACTGGGGACTCGTGTTGGTTAGGTGTGAGAGGCAGCCAATCAACACAGATGGCCCCTGGAAGGGACTGACGAAAAATGAAGATTACTCTATATTTTATGAACACAAACTATATGATTTTAACTTTGCATAAATATGTGCACATTTTACTTATTCAATTAAAGTTTTTTTAAAAATATAATGAATTCTAGGAAACTTTTTCATCATAGTATTTTTTATTATTTATTGTTTTGTGTTGTTAGGTAGTTAGGCACAATACAAACCAATAAAAAATGATGCTAAGGTGGTAACAAAAGAATGGAAAGAAAAGGAACAAAAAAACGAAAAACTTGGGTTTTAAGAGCAATTAGATTCTCTAATTTCACTGCTGGCCTGCAAATATGCATAAAAAATCAATGGGAGTAGATGATAGACCTTAAATACTTTTCTGAAGAGGATGAATCTCTCGCTGCAATATTATCCGACACAACTGCCCGTTTGAATCGAATGGATCAAATTGGCGATCGTGTCCATGTCCCTGAGAACTAAGACAGCTAAACTTGAAATTTAAAACTTATAGGAAGAATCATCAGTGCAGTTATATAAACTGCAGGGCCCAGTTCTAACTGAAAATGTGAACATCTTATATGCAAATAATGACCATGTCTCCCCATCACTGGCGTAGGTAGTAAAAAGGTAGTCTATCCCCCCCCCCACTCCAAAAAAAAAAAAAAAAAAAAATAAAACAAAAAATAAAAAAAAAAAAAAAAAAAAAAAAAAAAAAAAAAAAAAAATAAAACAACCCATGTCTCCCCATCACTGGCGTAGGTAGTAAAAAGGTAGTCTATCCCCCCCCCACTCCAAAAAAAAAAAAAAATAAAAATTATGCCACTAATTGTGTCATGTACCTAATGAGACCTTAAAAAAATTAAATGTTTCAATCACCTGTTCATCTTTTGTAGAAAGTTGATCAGAAAATTTTGTTAAAGCATCTCTGACAATTGTTGCAGATGATATTGGATGCGAGAACTTGAAAAAAAGAAATGACGAAATTAATATATGTGTTAAAAAAATACGACTAAACTGAAATTACAGAAAATGTCTAAAAAGGAAATTGACATCACATTTACCGGTCTAGGGCAGGGGCACATGGCGTAAGTATATTTTAAAAAAAAAATTATAATATATTTATTTTTTAGTAAAAATTGCAAGCATTCTTGTCTAAGCGTACTATAATTTGCATTGCGTATCAAAGAAAATGAAATTGGTGCCCTCGACATAAATTTAGTCTAGACTCATCTATCCATGCAGCGGCCAAAGTTTTAAATAGGTATTTTAATTTGTTTTTAAACATTTTTTTTTCTCATTTGAGAAACTGGTTGATTTTTTTTACTACAATCTTAAAATGTTCTAACTTATAAATTACATTTGGGACGAAATAAAAAGCTGATTTGGAAATGGTGAAGAGAGCGGTGCCGATAGGTGACTACATTCCGAAGAAAAAATGTCCACCAGAAGTAAATAACTGATCCGAAATCGATATATAAGGCCTGATACGTTGAAATAATACCTTTCCAAACCTCGAGTCAGGTCTTTTGATTCCACTTGAAGGAAAGCGTCGAAGCGTTACGTTCACTTCACGGTCCGCCACTTGGGATTTTGATCGGAGGTTTAATTTTGTTCAAAGTTCGTGTCCTTTGCTAGGACTCATGACCTCAAATGTTAAATAAGTTCCTAGCGTACCTTATAACGTGAACTACGTGTATTCCTAGAAGTGAACAGTCTCACTGGATACGCAATACTACCGGTAAATGGCGTGTGACGTTCAAAAGAAATGTTGAGAATAGGGTGGTCCACAAGAGAGAGGAACAGAGGCGTAGTGAGGCAGGTGCAAGGAGGGACAGATTACCCGGGCGCCAGGTAGTTAGGGGCGCCAAAATGTGCTTTGATATTATTTTATTGATGAAAATAATGGGTTCGAGAGTTGAAAAAAAAGAAAAAGTGGGCGCTTTAAAATGGATCTTGTCCCCGGGCGCGAATCGTGTCCCCGGGCGCTAAACACCCTGGAGAGGAACACACATTTTTAAAAATATTCAGTGGTCTTGTCCCCTCACCAAATTTTTCTACTATATTAAAACAACAAAAACACTACATGTATTATTATTTCATTTTTTTTAATATTTACAACGACCTTCTTCATCGCCCCCATTACAAGACGCTCATTAAAAAAATATAGTATTTTATAATTGTGACCATTAAACTATTTCTGATACCTGGAAATTTCATCTTAAAAATAGAGCACTCCACACCCACTTTTGGAATGAAAGTCATGCTTTGTAATTTAACGTAAATTAGGATGTCATACGTGTCACAAGTGTCTTCTGTGACAAACGTAGTTCTATTACTGACAGATAAACTCTTGCGACTGTTCTGTATACTTATCAGCAAATATTTTTTTTGCCGTTACACGTCTGCACAAGTGTCACACCCACGCGCGATGATCGAGCAATCTGCCCAGCTTTATATTTATTTATTTATTTAGTCATTTTTATATAGAGCTTACCTTAAAGCTCTAAGCGCTTTACAATTATTAAAAACATGTAAACTAAGTAAAATAAAAATGTGACACTAGGACAGCAACTACCATACTATAGAAACAACGAAAATGGCTATAAAACGAGGAAACTTTGACACGTTTTTGGCCCATGCTTCAGGATCAACCCGAAACAGAAAATGAGGCAGGGCAAGGAGGGTGCATCACAGGTCATAGGCGGACCTAAACAGATGAGTTTTAAGGGACTTTTTGAAAATGGACGAGGTTTCACAATGACGGATATGGAAGGGAAGCTGGTTCCAGAACGTGGGCCCATGGAAGTAGAAGGAGCGTTCACCGATGGTCTTAGTTTTGGTTCTTGGGATTGAGAGGGTTCTACTGTCAATGGAAGAACATAGTTGTCTTGTGGGGATGTAAGGAAGCAACAGTTCAGAGAGATAGACAGGAAAGTCAGGGTCAGTGAACGAGTTGAAGCAAAGATTGGCAATCACAAGATCTGATTCAAGGGTGCCAGGTGTGATGTCCCAACCAGGGTAGAAATTCGGTGTTAAATTCACCAAATACACTTGCAGAAGTTGAATTTTCTACACTCTCACCAGATACACATACTTGCAGAAGTTGAATTTTCAACACTCTCACCAGATACACATACTTGCAGAAGTTGAATTTTCTAGACTCCCACCAGATACACATACTTGCAGAAGTTGAATTTTCTAGACTCCCACCAGATACACATACTTGCAGAAGTTGAATTTTCTAGACTCCCACCAGATACACATACTTGCAGAAGTTGAATTTTCTAGACTCCCACCAGATACACATACTTGCAGAAGTTGAATTTTCTAGACTCCCACCAGATACACATACTTGCAGAAGTTGAATTTTCTACACTCCCACCAGATACACATACTTGCAGAAGTTGAATTTTCTACACTCCCACCAGATACACATACTTGCAAAATGCACATGATGCGCAAATAAACTTTTAAAAAAAAATTGCATTTGTTACAATTGTATAAATCGCTTACAATTACGGCTAATAGAAAATATTCAAGAGAAAATTTAACTTATTCGATTGACCCCAAAAACTGATCATTTTTTTTTAATCCATTGGAAATGTTTGTTTTATTGTGTATTGGAACAAACTAATAGGGCAAAACCAAACTATTTTATTTTTCAAAAATGTATTATTCCCTTCTAATTTATTTTACGCAGCAATTAGCTTTAAAAATAACAACAATTGGGAATATAATAAATATAACAGTTCTATTTTTATTCTGAAACACTCATGAACCATGCAGTAAATTAAAATAATAAGTTGACAGGTATTAAAGTATGGAGAAAGATAAGCATAGCTTGTTTAAAGTAAATGTCGTTTTTCCTTGATCATTTCATTAGCATAGTATTTGACATCTTTTGAAACAAAAATTTTAATAGAAAATTCCATTTACATAATGGTTCTCTATTGTTTGTATCACTAGAAGTGCAGCCAGGGTTTCTTTAAGCTATATCTGAGCTAAGTGCCCCCCCCCCCCGAGCAAAAATATGCCCAACAATAAATCAATTGGAACTGCTGGCACTGCCAGAAAAATCTGAAGTGCTCCCCCGGGGGGAAATTTCTGAAAGAAACACTGAGTGTTTACCAGTACATTATCCGTTGACGATTCGCCATAAGACAATAAATTGCCATGAATTGACTGCTATAGTTATTAAATACATTTAGGTAACAATGGTAGTTTATCTTTGGATACCGCATTGCACAAACGTCAACTTGATCATGTCTTGATTTTACCAGTAAAGTGCCTGCCGTGTGACTTTCTCAGAGTGAACACAATTTGCCAATGACATCGTTCGATCCGCTCGACTACGGCATACTTCTTCAACGTCTGGAAAATACGTTCGGTTTCACCGATACCATCCTGAAATGGTTCCTCTCGTATCTGACAAATCGGTTATCGCAAAGGGCTTGACCTCGAAGCAATCTATCATCGAATTCAGGATTTTCACTATGTACGTTCAGCCCCTGGGTACAGTGATCAAGCAGTTTGATATGCTATATCACATGTTCGCGGATGATACCCAACTTCAGATATCTGTGATCCTCTCTTAATTTCCTCAGCTTCTTAGTATATCACAGAAGCCAGTTGAGTCATTTAAGCACTAGATGACTATAAACAAGCTTAAATTGAACGATGAAAAGACCGAGCTGATCCCCATTGCTACCGCTCAAAAGCTAACATATATATCTAACATACCAACCCTCACTCTCTCAGGTATACAGATTAAGTTTGCTTAAACAGTGCGAAATCTGGGTGTCTACTTAGAAAGAACACTAACTATGGAAAATCACATTAACATTATTTGCAAGGCGATTTTTCTAGAGCTGCGCAGAATTAGTCATATCAGACCTTTCTTAACGTTAGATGCATAAGAGGTTGATGTCTGCATTCGTGCTATCACGAATGGAGTACTGAAATGCTTTTATGGTGGGTCTTGCAGCTACGCTCCTGGATAAAATTCAAATATCACAGAATAATGCGGCTCGCATTGTTCTTCGAAAACGCAAATTCCTCCATGCTAAAACACTTTTAAGAGAGTTGCATTGGCTGCCGGCTTGCGCTCGCATAGAGTACAAAATTGGAACTCTGTGTTACCTGTGCTTGCTTGACCTGGCACCATTCTATCTCAAAGTGCTACTGTCGCCTTATGTGCCCACTAGACAACTCCGCTCATTTAATAATGGAAAATCTTGATACCACGTGTTCACCTTGAGACTTACGATGGGCGCACTTTCGCATTTGCAAGTCCAACAATTTGGAACACCCTTCTTATCGCACTCAGAAACAGCAAGACACTGGAGTCTTTCAAAACTGATTTTAAGACTTATCTACTTCACAAACACCTGCTGAGGGGATGTTGTCTATTTAGCTATTATCTTGTAGATGTATATTGGCCTGCGTTGTTTATGGTTGCAAGGTATGAAAGACTTAGCAAGGGTATTCTCGCATGTAGTTTTTATAAGGTTGCATTTTGTACTTCAATGTAGTATGTACCGCGCATCGAGCCTTTGGTGATGAAGCATGATTTTCAAATAATCTTTATTATTATTATTATTATCTTATATAAGTTGAAAAATCATCTGGATAAACTATAGCGGCGGCTATACCAATTTCAGTCATATTTGTGGGGCAGCTAGAAAATTGCACGTGTTTCAATTTGTTGCTTGATTTCTAAGCATTCAGGGGAAAATTTAAAAAAAAAAACACATGCATTTTGTCATGTGATCTCTGCCTCTACAAATATTAAAGCACAGTATATATATATATACCATATACCATATAATATATATGTAAAATTGCAAATCATTTTGCACACGGACGAGAATTCACCATATTAAGAAGACGTAAACGAACACAAAGCCTGGATACAAAAACCTCACATTTCGGGTCATTTATTTGGTTGTTTTATAAAGATT